AAAATTTTAAAATATCACATTTTCACCCAAAGTTAATATTCCATTACTACTCAAAGTCGATTTCGATAGTGAAACCGATATATCTCTACAAAACCTATCTTATTCCAACACCTGATTTTTCGTTGTTTGCTTGACACCACAAAGCTAAGGTTTTTTGTTCTTAGCTGATTTCCAACTTATTTTGGCGATGAATATTTAATCGGTCATAACTATTCATTTCATCAGCCTCCACTCTACAAAACTCTTCTTAATCTAGCTCCCGATAACTTGTCAAATGTCAATTGAGAAAATGAAGTATATTTTGAGTATTAATAAAATATAAACTTTGGGTGGGAAAGTAATATTTTGAAACTTCTTTTGTGGAAAAAAGTCTGTTTACTATATTATTTTATCAATTAAAACGTAATTTTAGAAAATATGAAAGAGTGCTAACAAATCTATTAACTACCAATGCCATTGCTAAATAAAAATTGCATCATTTTAATCATGTATAAAAAAGAGAAGAATTTATTTCATATTTTTATTGTTTCAAACAAAAAATAGGTTGTAGCGAATATTTATTTCTTCATGGAAGAAGGTCAACCTTTTTATTTATTTATTTATATATTTAAAAAATTGCATGTTCATGAGAAAATTAATTTTGTAATTATTCTTATTAGATTATAATAGATAATTGAGTAAAGTAATTAATTAGAAATTTTTCCATAAAAAGAAAGTGTTGGGTTAGATAAAAATATTTGTCCTGAAATGTTAAAGAAAATTCCTAGTCACTTAAGAACTTATAAATATTCTATAATTTATAGAGAACAATTATACGGGAAAAAAAAAGAGTAGTAAAGCAAGCCTGATCTTATATTCATTTTTTAATCAATAAAATTTTAAGTTATCGTTTCCATTTTTTTATTAATAAAATTAGTCATAAAATTAAATTTTTTTCAAATTATAATTTATTCAATTAAATATTTCTTCAGCTAAAAATACTAAAAACAAATATATATCTCTCATTTTAATCTTCCCATACAATCTGCCTCCGCAAGTATCTCGCAATTTGATATTCGAGTTGACGGCATGCATATAGAAAACAAATTATTTTAATTACCTTGAAGATTTTTATTAAAATATTTGTATAGTTAAGAAAAAGATATGATTTGATTATCCTCAAATGTTTTTTTTATTGTATTCCGGAATCCCTATATGATTGTACAAAATCTTTCATAATCTACCATAATAAACAAAATAAATTTAATTATATGCTAATAACAAGTAACAACTTAGCTAATAAACCACTTATGGTGGTCTAACACTTAATTAAAATTTTTTAGTGTATTATTTAAGAGGTTATGAGTTTGATTTATCTGGATTGTTAAGAAGGGCGAGTATTAAGAAAATTTATCTGATTATCAATTACAATATCCTAGAAATTAATTTATGTATATATAAATTGATCCCAATATTTTTGCTTAAAAAAAATAATTTAATATAACAACATGATATAATTATCATTAGATGATTGAATAAGTGGATGGTAGCTTTTGAATATATATTACTTGTTATGAGTTTGACCTCCTCGAGACTATGATATAGATTGCATTTGCCAGGCTGTCTTAGTTGATTGGGACTTTCAAAGTAAGTGCCGCTCCGCGTGAAACCAACCAATCACAGTCTTTTTCTTGTTTTTATATTTATTTTGAAACATGTGAACAAATCAATAAGGACGTTACGTTAAAAAAACAAAAAAAAAAACGATATATTCATTTTATTTAACGGTTAGCATCAGTGACAGTAAACCTCTTTAGACTTTTTTATGATTTAGATTTGGCACTATGATTTAGAAGTTTTTATAAAAAAATAACGTAATTTTTAATAAAAGTAAGCTCTTTACATATTAATAAAATTCTGTATAAAAGATGTTTGTTACATAAAAAGCATGGTCTTGAAAATTTTGAAGTTGAGGTTTGTGATAGAGAAGTAAGAAGAGAGAAAAAATGGTATTGTTGTTTTTATAATTAAGGACTTTTGTGTCTCCAAAATTATGTTAAGAGTCATAGAGCATAAAGATTTTTTTTTTTTTTTTTTTTGGTAATTAAGAGTGTTCAAATCAATTTACACGCACCTTAATTAACCCTTAAAGATCTTAGAACAATCATCCAAATAAGAGCTCTAATAGTTACCCATATTAACAATTAAGGAGTGACTCGACCTCAAAACCTCTTGAGTAAGGGGTGTTTGTCTGAGCTTATGAAAATTAGCTTTTAAGCAATAAGTGCTTATAAACTAAAATTAGCTTATAAGCATTTGAAATTTTAAGCAATTACGTGTTTGATTAAAGTATTTATAAGTGACTAATAAGTAGTTGACGTGTTTGGTAAAATATGGCTTATAAGTACATTTTATTATAAAATGACTAAAAAAGATACTACATTAAATAAGGGTATACTATAGAATTTTAAAATTAAATAAGGATAATGTGGTAATATGCTTATCAAACTAACTTATAAGCAGAGTGCTTAAGCAAAAAAAAAAAAAAAAAAAAAAGTAATTCTTCCTAACTTATTATATTTTTTTTTTGCTTATACTCCAAAAATTATATAAAACAGATCAGCTTAATTTTAAGCTTATAAGCGTTTGACTAGCTTATAAGTTTAGACAACACCCCCTAATAAACTCCTATCGGCCATTCAACCACCCAGAGATTGGTTAGCGCAAAGATTTCTAAAATGAGATATTTTTCATCACAACGCCATTTATAATAATGATTTGCTTATAATTAAGTCATATAATCAGATAAAAATTACACAAAATTTATGTAAATGATTACTCTATCATTTATTTTTTTACTTAATTGTATGACTCAATTATAAGTATAATGTTCCTCCTTTTAATATTGAATTTGTCATAAAACATATAAATATATTTGAAAATGGATTAAAATTATTAAAGTATTGAGGTAAAGTTACCTCGTTGGATTTTTGAATGATATTACTTTTTTTACTAAGAGAATATCTAGTGATGATATCAGTACTGTAACTTCATAATTAAAGTTATTGGATATTTTATTTATAAATTAAATTTATTGTTGATTTTATAAGTAGTGCTTATCTAAATTCTAATACGAGATAAAGTAGCGAAATTTTCTAAATGGAACATCATTAAACATAGCATTGATTTTTCTTCTTTCCTTTTTAGTTATCCAAACAGAGGTTAATCTACAGCTAAATTAAAAAAACTCCTCCCCCTTTGGTCGAGGATCTTTATATTCCCTCTTTTTTAAAATTTAAACATGAATATACTAAAACATAAATGTTTTAAATATATGAATTCACTTTGATTTAAATGATGTCAAACGATGATAATGATGATGATGATGATGATAAATCTAAGGATATTACAATACAAAATTTTAACACAATTTCATTGCAAATATCTTATTTATTAATTTGAAACAATTTAATAGATTTCAAATTGATATGGGTAAAATTACAACACCACCAATCATAATGAGCTGTTAGTCCTATCAATTAAAGTTTAGCAAAAGCTAAAGGATAACATAACCTTAGTTGTCAATACCAAACCAACCTAAGAGCATTTATATCAATTCTATCCCATTTTAAGATAAAAATTAAAGAGTAGTCATCACGTGTTAAAATAATTTGTAAAAACACTTATTACATTAAGTTCAGTGTATAAATAGAGGCTTCCCCCTCATAAAATACTCTTAAAATTTAACAAAACAAATAACAAAGACAATCCATGAGAAAAAGACTGACTTAATATTCTCTATGAATAATTCAGTATGTTGTTTGCGACCTCTTGCAAACTTGGCTAATCACAAAGAACACTCATATAAAATAAAACAGTAGATGTATGAATTGCTTTAAGCATCTGAACCACTATAAAAATTATCACTGTCTCTTTTATTTTTAAGTCTTTGCATGCTATTGTGACCTTTAACCAAATCCCCTAATTAATCACATATAACTTTTAAGACCTTTTTAGCACTTTGCACGTTCGAGGTCGTTGGTGTCAAAATCACGCATCAACAGTTTGACGCTAGAAAGACTTGCACGTATTTGCAGACTTATAATCATTACCTTGAACTCAGGATCAAACTCTCAAAATTCAACAAAGTAAATAGCAAAGACAATCCACAGGAAAGAGACTGACTTAATATTCTCTTTGAATACCAAACACTTGTAATTCAGTTCGTTGTTCGCAACCTCTTGTAAACTAGTTAATTACTAAGAACATTCATATAAAAGAAAATAATGGATGTATGAATCGTTTAAGCATCCAAACCATTATAAAAATTCTCATTGTCTCCTTTATTTTTAAGTCTTTATATGCTACTGTGACCTTTAACAAAATCCTTAAATTATCACATTTAATTTGTAAGACTTTTTTAACACTTTGCACGTGCAAGATCGTTAGTATTAAAATCATGCATAAACACAAATAATTATTTTTTACATGAACTTATAAAATTTTTAATTACTGAATTATAAGAAATAAAAAATTTAATAATTTAATGTTAAAGTTTGTTGTTAGAATCTGATAAAAATCATCACGACAAGGGAGTAATGCATTCAATAATTAATAATTGAAGACGCTTCTCATCTCGCGGACCCATCACGCACTTATAGTTGTGGATCAACAACTGCCTCCACGTCACCACTCGACTTGACAACCACTTCCATATAGAAAAATCATCCCCGCTCTGCTTGTCCATTCAATCATGAAGTAAAACCTTCCTCTCTCATACTCAGCTTCCGGCCAATTCCAAACACCACCCAGCACAACTTCATCTTCTCAAATCTACCTACTTTTCTGTACACAGAATAAAAATCATTCCTTCCACAGACCACAGGTGACCTCCCAAATACTTTTCTTAAAAGCACTTCTGATAATTTTCATTTGACCATGATTTTTGGGAAATAAATCTCTTCCATTAATGTTTTTCTTTCTTTCTGTTAAGTTGTTTAATTATTTAAACTTGACTTTTAGTTTGTTAACACATTCAAGTATTCAACCGTTCCATTTTTAACAGAATGAATGAACTTCTCACTTTCTCCACCAAAGGCGCCCACATTATGCTGATTTTCTACTCTCTAAATTTTCTCATCTTTCTATTGAATCTTTTGTAATAGGCGTGGTCTCGTCGCTTCCGTACGTAAATAGAGTCTATGGATATCGCTGCGGTTCAAGGAGTGCGAGCTCGGCCGTCGATTGGTGGACCTTGGCCGGCGGACCTTGTGTCTGGACCGGCGTCGAAGAAGTTAGGGTTTGTTAAGGCTACTAGGTTTGATCGTGTTCGTGGTGTTAGAGCGGGGTCATGGTCTTTGAAGCCGGTCAAGGCAACGGAGGAGTCAACGGCGTCGGTGATCAATGAATCCACGGCCACATCTGGTGCTGCTTTCAGTTTTTTTTTCTTTTTAATTTCTTTATTATTTTTTTCTTTTTTGTTTTCAGTGTTGGATGCAATTAAAATGAGGAATATATGTTTATCTTTTAATGTCGTGGATGTTGACTGGCTTCGGTGATGGTTGCGTGACGATTGACGAAATTTAAGACCAGATCATTAATGCAGTTATTTTGTTAAGATTCTTAAGAAGCAAAATAAATACTCGGAATTTCTACTTGAATGATTTTAAACTCTGTGGCTTGTGTTTTCTTAATTATTTGGATTTTAGTGGTAGGAGATTAGGTTGGCACTTGGTGGGGTAGAGGATATTTTGTTGGAATGGTTGTTGACAGTAACTTTTGTAATCCTGTAAGACTGCATCTGGCAAGTCATTTCATTTGACCCTGTAAAAGGAATACTAATAGCCTGCTTTTGGACCATTTATTTGACGGTTATTTAGGCAGCATTGGGCTTGACTGAATAATTGGTAAAGAGTAAATAGGAATGGACTATACATGTAGTCCGGCCCAACTGTTTTGACTTTTGATTCGTTATCCAACTATAATGAATTATTTATTTAAATAATTTTATTTTTGTTTGAATAATTATTAAATATTATATATATTTTTATGTATTATAACGTTTTTTTTTTTCCATATTATTATTCAAAATTATTTTATCGATACTATTTGAATTGTAATTTTATAGCAACTTTTTAAAGTTCGCCGCAGACGGATTAATGTAGTCTCATCAGTCATTTGACAGTCGCAAAGATATAGGCCAACATAGTCTTATAGAACAGTCAACATCATTTTTATTCCTGCAAAGCATTCTTAAGGAATCATGTGCATATGCTTCCCATTCAATCAGTCAATTATAACAACTGTGAAGTACTAGCAACATGGAATTATTTTTTTCGCTTGCTAGATGGGATTCACAGTATCGTGTGCTCTTAGGGCTGTATATTTTGTTATCGTTGTGTCCTATATTTAAGAGAAGCACCCGTGTTGTAGGAAGATATACTTTGTTTTGTCCTTTGAATTATTGTTGAAATAAAGCTAGAAGAGGGCACTTCAGTTAATTCTTGAATTAACTCTTGTGACATTTATGCAACCTCTGCATTTAGAGGAGGAGTATGCTAATATAATTAGGGATTTCAAATTAAAGGTTTATACTTCTAGAACCTGCAAAAATATACATATTAAAGTGGTATGTGTAGAAATGTTTTTGAGCAATTATGTGCCTCAGGATAGCTGTCGGGACTGTTTTGCATTGGATTTTTTGGTTTTATAAGCTGTATCTGGATATTTTGCTGTTAAATTGCTTATTTTTCTTGATAATTGATTGAAAATGTAAATGTAACCAATATCTTTGATGAAATGTGTCTTGTATTTTTAGCTTTTACAATTCACAGACTTGCATAAATGTTAATTACTATTTATATGAAAAAGATATTCTTTGTAAACCATGGTTGTAAATTCTGGTTCAGCAATATGTAATTTTTGCCCTCATGTGCCTATTTAGAGTTCCAACTTTAATTATATCTAACTAGGTAACAGTCTAAAACATATATCTACAGTTGGAAAGTCGACAAACATCTTGTGGCACAAAAGTTCGGTGGATAAAATTGATAGGCAAGAGTTACTTCAGCAGAAGGGCTGTGTCATATGGATTACTGGTCTTAGTGGTTCAGGTTTGTTAGATGTTACTTCCATTATGTTTTATGTGTATGAATTAATTGTTGGCATTTGTACTGGTCCTACTGGACGCTAGAAATAATTCTTTATTTTGGCTCTTTAGCCTCAATAGATACATATGATGCATTGATTATTCTCATGATTACATTTTTATCTCATTCTTTTCAATCTGAAGTTCTATAATAAAGAGGACTTTCTCCAGAAAACTATGTTAAGAAGTTTCTTGATACTCTGAAGAATTTGATTGTGTAAAAATGATTTACCGTTAGTATTGGATTAGTCAATTTTGCATTTATGATGATCCAGATCTTGCTTCTTGATATGAACAATGGGAATTCTTTAAGAAATTTCCTCACTTGACATTAGTTTTATTTCTTTGGTCTTATTATTTTCTTTTGTAAATCAATTTTTATATGTATATTGGTGTTGTGTTGTTTTTCTTTAGCAACTTGGAGAGAGTTGTAACTGAATAACCATGCATATCAGCTTCACTTGCCATGCCTCTGGCAGTGGCAGAATTCATGATCATTCATATGCTAAGTTTTCAACTAACGATGAATATTCATCTGTTATATTTTTTATAAGATGCATTTTTGAGCAAGTATCCTAGAAAAACATTAACTGCAGATTGATCATGCTTACGAAATATTCAGATGCTTGTTAAGGTGTTATTTGTAATTGTTTGCAGCAGATCGTGAAAAAGGAAGTGGATAACTTCTGAAAAATTAAAAGACGATCCTCATGAAAGTCTTAGGGTATTTAATGAGAAATGATTAACTGATCCTATCAAATTCATATGGTTAGATTTCTCACAATGCTGAATAAGAAGTTTTATATGCTTTTCTGTTAGCTTCTTATCGAAAACAGAGAGTTTTAAATTGTATGCCATTATAGTCAAACTCAAATTTTATTCATGCTCAAAGAATTGTTTATGAGTTATATGTTCAATATGCATACAAATCAGCCTCCTCCATTAACTAAACTAAGGTAATGGATCAGTTCTTTTAGTCATCGAACATAACATTAAGAAAAAGTCAGTCTGAATGAAACATAAGATGGATGAATGAAATTTCTTTATTAATGTTATATTGAGTTTGTGTTCTGTTTAGTTAGAGTATGCAAAGTAAACTAGAGTTTTGTTTTAATTCAGTTCTTCAGTAAAGTGGTTGGCTTTGCAAGTTAGTTGGCCTGAGCTGTATTTATTCAGCCATTTAAGCTTGTCTTCCTTGTACTCAGATCAAGGTTTCTTGGTCAAGCATAGTTCATTCATTTTTACTCTTTTGTGGCATTCATGAAACTAGATTAATATGTTGAATGGCCTAATCGAGTATTTCAGCCCTGTGTCCCATTCCTACGCTGTTATCACCTTTATCATGCAAATTAATGATAAATATACTCCTTGTCATTTTGAGATTATTTCTTTTGTTTTCTTACTCAGTTCTGTGATGTAATCTTTACCGGTAACCAATGAAAGATGGAAGTTAAATATGGAATGGCATCACACTCTTAGTTACCAAGATAAAATCTTCTTCTTCCCATCCCTTTGCTTCAACTTTATTGTTGCAACTTCCTTTGATGTTTATTCATCTTAATTTCATATATTGCTCTCTCTCAAATATCTTGAATGCGGATTTCAGGAAAAAGCACTTTGGCATGTGCTCTGAGTCGTGGCTTGCACTCTAGAGGAAAGCTAACCTACATTCTTGATGGTGACAACTGTCGGCATGGACTGAACCGTGACCTTAGTTTTAAAGCAGAAGATCGTATTGAAAATATACGAAGGATTGGTAATGTTACTGTTCATTTCTTACATTATTGTCCTTATATTTGTTTTCTTTATTCTTTTCTTACAGTATGTTATTTTGTATTGTAATATTTCAGGGGAGGTAGCAAAACTCTTTGCAGATGCTGGTGTTATTTGCATTGCCAGTTTGATCTCTCCTTACAGAAAAGATCGAGATACCTGTCGTGCACTATTACCAGAAGGAGAATTTGTTGAGGTATGTGATACTGTAATCTTAAATTTTATGGCATTGGGTTAATTTATGCTTTGCACTGGCAGGTAGTAAATGGATATTGAGATAAAGAAAAGATGCACCTTTTCTTATTGAACGATTCACAATCTCTTCATTTGATAGGTGTTCTTGGACGTCCCACTCCAACTGTGTGAGTCGAGAGACCCCAAGGGCCTTTACAAGCTTGCACGAGCTGGGAAGATCAAAGGTACCTTCTAATTTGTATATGAATTGAGGAATTATTTACATTGCTCATCTTCTTTTGAGTTGTATTGGTTCTCAACTGTAAAATCAGTGATGATGTAATTGTTTTGCAATTTATAGGTTTTACTGGGATTGATGATCCATATGAACCGCCATTGAACTGTGAGGTTTGTGTTAAGAAAAATCTATGCTAAATTAATTGGTTAGCTGCAATCAATTAACAAGAAAAATTTAATAAAAACAATCACGCACAATAATACTAGAATTGATGTGGTTTGCTCATTTATTTACATCCGTGAGACGTGATTATTAAAATAGACTAATCAAGAACTCTAGTCTAAGATTCATCATTTAAGTTTAAAAACAACACTAGGTTTCAATACTTTTGCACACCTCTCTAAATATAAACACTAAAATCCCTGAGAAGTATTATTCTTAATTTTCTTGTCAATAACTAAATCTGCTCAAAGTTCTCACAAATATTGTTTAGAAGAACTTAGACGGTACAATTTTACATATTTTACAAAAAGCATCCTCGCAAATTACAGTGAAGCCTCCCTTGAAGAGTTTAAACTAATTTTATAAGCATTAGGTATGAACCCAGTAACAAAACAATAATATGAATAACTTTAGAGGGAATCATCCATATTTATAGTGACTTAATATTGCACCATGCTGGCATGTACCTATGAACAGAATGAATCTGCTATGATCTAACAGTCACAATTCATTTAGTCATTTACAACAATTAAGTATTGAAGAAGCTGCAAGAATCTTTTGCGTAAAAGTCGATGAACGATTTTGTTTATCTTGTTTGGAATAGTTTGATCATGTTAGAAGTGTCTGATGTTGGCTACCTTTCATTCATCTAGGCAAAATCTGAAGCACCTTTTCAGCCTAGTGTTATTATAATAAATTACTCCTACTTCTACCAGTCATGCCTTCCTTTTCTCATAGTCAAGTAATTGACATTAAAGCGTTATCAATTTGCAGATAGTACTACGACAGAAGGAAGACAACTGTGCTTCTCCATGTGAAATGGCTGAAACTGTGATAGCTTACTTGGATGAGAAAGGTTACCTTCAAGCCTAATTTGCTGAAAAGGTATCAGTAACTGTAAGTTTGTAACATGATTCGATGGAAGCCTGAGATGATAGAAATTGATTCTTTCCTACAGTAACGAAATCGTACCTGCATTTGTAGCTCAACCATTTATGTCTCCTTAAAGCTGCAAAAGTGTATTTTGTAATTCAGCCTCCAATTAATAAGGATGATCCACGGGATAGGTAATAAATTTGTGTCACTTAGCCGTGTGATATCCATTCCAGTATAAGATTTGTCTCACGTCACAGGTTTGCACTCAATGCTTGTACATAAAGCAGCCTTTGGATTTGTATAGCTTTATCAGAATACTAGTGCTTGTACATTGACACTACGTGGACTCAGCAGGAATTGGCCCAAACGGTCAAATCCTTCCATTTTGGTGTTTCTTGTTCAGGAATAGAAAATTGTTGCTATCAATATTATGTAAAGCCCGATTAATTCAATAATCAAGAGCTTTCATTTCATATTTGTTTAAATGGGGATATGGTGCTTGTGCTTTTGATGATCTTTTCTATTTTTTTTTTTTTTTTTCCATTGTATTTAGCGTTTGTGGGTCAAGTGGCAGCCATGGCTGCCCATGGTATTTTTTTTTTTAAAGTTTTTGTATACAATTTTTTAAGGAAGGTTAGAGTTTTTTAGTTTTCTTTGAAATTATATAGGATGGAGAGAAGACATAAATGCCCTTTGACTGTTAATTTTAACATTTGAAATTTGACATCGAGTGAAGTGCTGATCATAGTTTCTGAAATTTAGGATCTATGCTGTATGCCAACCAGGGAGGGAAAAGAAATTGTCCTTGAATTGCCCATAAACAAATGGCATGTGCTCGGGCCCACATGTCTCTCACTAATTCCCAAAAAAAGAGTAAAGAGCTCCCCATTTGCATCCAAGTTTATTGCCATACCACATTGGTGAAAGATTTTGTTTACTCGCATTCATCATTTATAGATGAAGTCCCAACATCCCTTATTTACCGAAAAATAAAGCTTCTTTCTGTGCATCTAAGGTGAGCTTCAATGCCTTGAAGATTCGATCATTCAAGTTTTTGTAGTTTTTTCTTTTTTGATCACTAGGGATGTTTGAACTAGTTTATGCGTACTTCAACTAATCACCTAGAGATTTGAAATTATCGACCAGGTAAGAACCCCAATGGTCACCCTTATTAGTGTCTGGGGAAACTCGAATTCAGAAGGTCATGAAATATTTTTTTTACTCTTTTACTATTAGGTCGGTTGTAGTTTTCATAGTTGAACATAAGAAGTCATTGCTTTATCGGTTATTGAAAACTATATTAAATCAATATTATACATTTTTTTCGGTCAAGAGAGGGAAGACAATCATATTTGTGATGTAAAGAGGTAATTTGAAGGATGATAAAAGAGCATTGATTTGAGAATTCCATGGAGAAAATGAAGGTCAGATTATTATTAGTGGGTAAGTTGAATGTGCAATCACAAATGAGTGGTAAATGTGTACAGTGCACCCACTAAATTATTTTATGTGGGTGTAAATGAAAATGATCATTACTTTATTAGTCTTACCTTTTCTATTTGTGTTTAACTCTAGCTGTCAACCAGATACAAAGAGCAAATAAAGATGGAAACTATTAAAAGTGGACTCATATATTGAATTCATGACATCATTTTCTTTTAATCGACATTTGATTTGAGTATTCAACAAACTAAGTTCAGTATAACCAAATAGATGAACCCACAATATTGAATCATTCTTATCCTACTTCCCACTTATTATATACCCATTATTATTAAAACCATTAATTGATGGCTCCATCTCGTTAGGCAAGACTCTCATGCAATTCATCATTAATAATATAAAGATCAATGATGTTAAAATCACTAAAAAAAATTATTATAAACAATACATTTTATTTACATTAAAGATTAAGAAAATATTTTCAAGGGAAAAGAACAATATCTTGAAGGGAAAGGTCTTCCAACTTCCAGAAAAAAAACAATGTTCACACAGCCGATATACATACCAAAAAGTGTAAGCAGATTTCTCAAAACCAACTTCAAATATACCATTCATTATAATATCAAGAAACCTTCCCAGTTGACATTTAATCACCATCCTGATCATTCCTTTCCTTACAAAGAAGTAATATTTCTCAGGCAAGGACAGCGCAGAAGGGATCGCTGAATTGTTTATCCAAATAACATAATCCTGTCCTGAATCTACATACAAGAAAATCTAAAAAGAAGAAGAAAAAGAAACTGCTTAATGTAATTAAGAAAGGCATACATTCGGATCAAATGAAGGCAATAACCATTTCTCCTCCTCGGCTACTTCGTCCGTGTTGATGTACGGACATGAAGCAGACCACGAGCGCCATAGTCATGGAGACAGCCACAGAGCTCACAACTCGGAAAGTAGAAGAGAATCGCCGCTCTTGCAGACCCCATAATGTCCTAAAGAACAAACCCAGACCGTTCACCACACTCCCCAGCAGCAGCGCCATACTTACCTTCCCTTCAAGGAGAAAACTGTTAATTAAATGAACTCAGAAAATCTCTCTCTTCACTCTTTTAAATGACCGGCAGCAGTAGAAAACAAAAGGGTAATTGAGGTGTTGTATGTTTTACTTTTTCATAACAAAAGCTGGGCTCGTAATTCACCTATCAGATAGATAGATATTTGTAGATAAAAAGAGAAGAAGGTTGCTTGTGCGTTGGTTCCCATTTTTTTCAAGGGGTGTGAAAAGATTGAAAGATGTTAACATTTGATTGTCATGTCACTCACGAGCGCATCTATACATATACACATATATGTTTTCAAGAATTCGAAAGGACTGGTTAACTACTTAACTATCACTATTCGCACAAGATAAACGACACATAAAGGTTTACGGTTGCTTTCAAAAGTGACATACTAATTTCTTGTAAGAGTATAGAATTTATGGGTGGGTTGAGTTTTACTTACTACTACTTTTCACAGAAAGGGATAAAAACCAACTACTGGAATTTTTTATTTTTTTGGGTTATCCAGGGGGTGCCAATGCCAACTTGCTGGCGTCTCAACTATTCTTTCGAGACTTTGAAGTTAACGGTCAGATTAACTTCTAATGGTTTTCTCTTATTATTATTCGTTAGGATTCGAATTCAGAACCTTTAAAGTAATACACCTAAGAATTCCAAACGAATCGTCAAACTATCTAGAGATAGTTCAACTAACTGATTTTGTCATCCAAAAACAGTATTTAGAATAACTCTATTCAATTCATAAATCAAATATATCTAGAAGAATATTTTAGTTGGCGATATGGTAGCCATCTTTGAAATCTTGCACAACAAATAGAAGACAAAACAAATTTCCCCTGAAACTGGTATACCATATGATTTATGTAATGAAGTATTTTTATTGATATAATGTTTTTGACAACTATCGAATACAATCTTATTGGGATGGTTGAGAATTTTTCAATATTAAAAATATACTAATTTTATACAGAAACAAAAAGCTTCCATAATAATTCAGTTAGGCATATTACCACTTAAAATATAAAAGATGTGATATGTGATGGAGATTCCATTAGATTTTTGCCAAAGCAATTAATAATTAGAAATTGGTTAAGGATATCCGAGGGATCACGATGTCATGTGGCAGTGTCATGAACAATTGATGAAAAGAGCATTGGTAAGTGTTATGATTTATGATCAATTGCAATCCTTTTAAATCTTAGATTATAATATCTCTGCGAGCGTCATTATTTTTCATAAAGTGTCAATTTATGCTGCCTTCTAAACTGTTTTTCTTTTCCTTTTATTACAAATTTATTATTTCACTTCATTGATACATCATTAGGATTTGATGAATCTGGAATCTCCTTTTTCAAGAATAGCCCAATGCTTGTGCCATTATTACACTTACAAGCAAAGTCAAGTATCATACTGCCCTTATTTTTTGTTTGTTGGGATACTGTTTGATGAAGACTATAAACACACACAAGAAAGAAAAAATAGCTTGAGGATTGGATCTTTGATCATAAAACTTAGCAATAACCCCTTCCAAAGCCTTTTCAGAAATTGCTTCCATACAGAATTTGATATCTGATATTGCATTTTCAGAAGTTGCTTCCATACATAGAATTTTTTATCTAATACTTGCATGTTTGCAGGAGCAACGGCAAGTCAGAATGAAGTATTGGCCGACTTCCAATCGTCAGATCATACATGAATAAATCCTAGAACCGTTCTCAATCATTGTCTTGTCTATAGCCGTTGCCCTCCTTTTCTTTTTAACTAAACAGAAAGAGGAAAGAGCAATAAACAATAAGTTGAATGGGGTAAACTGTCCACAAACATAAAGGGGCTTTCGGTTGGATACACATGAGATAGGATATAAGTTCAGAACTAAAAGCAACTATTTTTAACATCGAAACTTTACATGCATTTCTCTGGCAATAGAAGGAAGCCATCGCTCCCCTCTAACACGTTTCAATTCAGCAACTCTTTCCTCTTCTCTTTTTGCTTTTGCTTTTGCAGCTGCATCTTTAGCTTCTAGTCTTGCTAATGATTTCTGGCTGGCATCTCTTGCTGCAGCCAATATATCCACACCATCCACAACAACAGCTTGGAGTTGTCGTTTGAACTGCAAGCAGATTAGACAATTCATATATGACTACAAATGAATAGAACAAAGTGTCATGAAGTGACAACAGTAAACAATATATTGTATATATGGAGAAAGAGAGCAAACCTTCTTTGATTTCATATCAATCTCTTTTCCTGGAAGGATGTTAGGTTTTTTACAGGGTCCCTTAAATTGATCTGGAGACATACAAAACATTCAGTCTTCACATATGTGAATTGTAGAAATGAAGAAATGCATCAAAAGGTCAAGATTAGAGAATGGGAAAACTTCAAACTATCAAAATCCCATAGCGAAAAGGTCAAGGTCCGATAAATTTAGGCAATGCCACAAATTCAGCTCCACTGAAGTTGTATCCCAAATGCATCAGCACTCAAAACTCCAAAAGTGATTTTGCACTTTAGTATGTTGCTCTTTGCTTAACGCGTAAATCTACATCTTGAATTGGTTCCATATAATAGTAACTACTTGCCACAGAACTTAAGAACTCAAGAGTAAGTCAAATGATTAACAGCTGTGGCTTAAAATTAAGAATGCAGTTTGAGTAGCGCAAAACAATCAATAAGTAAACCAGTCTAAGGAGCCCAGCATCACCATTTTTTTTTTAAATTTTTTTTGCCAAATCAACATGCCAACATAGATGCTCTTCATGTTGCAGAATCCAAGTAATCTTAATTGCATTAAGTCACAATCAGAATATGTGAAGAATATTGATTTACCCTTATGATCAAATACTATCCCAGGGGCAGAATTTTTAAATAATCGAACTCCTCCATCGATCACTTGATCTTTTTCCAGGAAATGAACAGGATCTCTCACTATCTCTAAATTCTTCTCTAAGATATCATCCAAAGCTTTTTGTGCCTGTCATGAAGTTTATTAGTTAATGCAGACTCTGTAACATAACAAAAAAAAAAAAGGAAGAGCGAAAGAAAGAAAAAAAGTAAGAAAAAAAAAAAGATAAAGATGACTTCCAATTTGATGCAACTTCTACCTTATTAATATATATATTTGAGATGTTGGAATACTCACCTAGTTGAAACACTAACAAGCCATTTCTTTCTTTAAAAAAACAGTATCCATGAGTTATCAACTCAAGTTAACTCTTCATCAGAAAGATAAACCACTACCATTCATGCACAAATAAAAAAGGCCAATATCACAAATGCAAAAGAAAGATAACACATGAACTATTAAAAATACCAACATATAAACTATGAAGAAAAGAGAACTATTTGTACAAATATATAAGAGAGCCCTTCAGCTTTAATGTATATATTCTTTTAAAAGAACAAAAAAATTCTAAAGAGAGAAAAAATAAGATTGAAGATGATGAAAAATAAGATTGAAGATGATGCAAAATGACCTTGACTTGGTAGTGCTTGAGTTTTTGGGGTTTATGTTGGTGGTCCTCTTCATAACTACAGTCTGTGTTTGAATTCGAATGGGTGATGGATTTGGTTGAGCCATTGGTGAAACCAAAAGTAGTGGTGGATACAACCGATTCAATGGCTTTCCTCCACTCGGCCGTCCCATCTTCTTCTCCACTGCTACTGCTGCTCGGACTTCCCATCAATAGCTAGCTTCCACCACCTGTTCGACAAATTTCTTCTCAATCTGTGAAATACGACAGCGTCCGTGCCCGATTCAAAATGCAAATATTTGTTAAGAGGAACGATAAGGGCTTGGCCCATTAAGCCCGCGAAAGGTTGCCGAAATAAAAATCAAGGAATAGTGTTTGGTGGTCAAGTCCTTATTCATGAATTATTTTATGGGAGAATGACAATTTCCCACCCAAGGTTTGGGGTAAGTTTGTTTTCCCACCATCGAGATCTATTAGTGAAATCCATTAGCTGACATGATATAGCCATGGTAAAGATGAAAATACCTCTTACTATTTGACTTAATAGTTTTTTTATTATTTTATGTCATGTCTGTTACTGATATTACTTAGATTGGTTAGTAGTTCCATTCAATAAGGCCCCAGATACTTTGTCGGTTAGAGAGTATATTGGAGCATCTCAGATAGTTTAACATGGTTGTTCTTAGTTGTTAGTAGTGGCAGTTATGTAGGAAGTAGTTGCTTAAAATAAGGGGTGTTGTTAAACTTCAGTTTTATATGATGGTTTGCTGCATCTATGTAATATCATCATAAATAATATAATTCTTGTTATGTTTATGTTCTTTCTATTTTCTCTCTCTGCAAATTTCTTCACCTCTATTTATATGGTATCAGAGCTCGGTTTGTTGAAAAGAGAGAGAGAAAATAAAAATTTTCAGAGGTGTTCTCACGTTGCAAAGTTGGAGTCTCACAATGCAACATCTAGTGCAATTGTACTTGAAGTTCTTACAGAAAAGAACTATGCTGATTGGAAAGTACGGATGAAGAGCTACTTGCGAGGACATTGTTGATGGATCTGAAGCTTAGTCCACAGGAAATTAGGTCGGCTCGAATGCATGAAAAAAGAATAACAGCAAGGCGCTGCACATAATTCAAATTTCTTGTGGGTCTAACATGCTCTCCTAATGAGAGAGCTAGATTTTGCAAATGAAGCCTGGGATAGTTTGGCCACAGTGCAAGAGTAGGCAAGCGGAGCTCGAAAGGCATTTTTGGAGGCTAAATTGCGAGCTTGCAAACAAGGTAATGATTTTGTTGCTGCATTTTCTCGCAAGGTTAAAGATCTTTGTGCTTAGTTGGAAGGAATAGGTGTTAAGATGGAGAACAACACTCGAGTTGCCATCATATAAAAAAAATTCAGAATTGAATTTGATGCAATGAGAGTGTTGGTTCAGAAAGATTAACCTCCAATGAATGAGGCAATTAGTCTCTTCCCACAAGAAGAAACGCTACTTGAATGAAGCAAGTTAGAGAGCAAAACCACAAGATATGAAACTTCAAATGAAGCTTTATTTACTGATGCTCATGGAAAATTTCGAGGAAAGGGATTATTTCAAGGATCAACAAGGTTGCAACAGAACCAGCGACAACTATGAACAAATTCCCATGATGATGATTCTAGAAACAATCGGTTGCCATCTAACAACAATGATCAAGGAAGCTCAAGGATGTGACAACCTCGATCATTAGGCAATTATTCAAGGAACTTCAACTGTTACAACTACGGCAAGAAATGTCACTGTACTAGGGATTGCTGGCATAAGGAAGGGAATTATAGTGCAATATAAGATAATGCAGAACAGTTAGAGGAGAACTCTGATGACAATAGGAATGAAGAAGCTCTATGTGTTATGGAAAAATTAGATCGTGCAGAAGATCTATGGTATATTGATTCAGCATGTTCAAATCACATGACTCCAAGGGATGATCTTTTTGTTACCAAAGAACCATGGACAAATAGCCCAGGGGTCACAACCGGAGACACACAACTCTTGCAATCAAAGCACGAGGTCGTGTTGAAATACCAGAGCCAAATGAAGATATGAAAAAGTTGTTTAATTTCCTTCATGTTCCTAAACTGTGCAAGAATCTCATGTCTGTAGGACAACTCATAGACCGAGGCTATGATGTACATTTCAGTGACATGAGTTGTGAAATTTTCAATCAAGAAACTGGTGATTTGGTAGCTCAAGGCAAGAAAGTGGGAAGACTATTTGCTCTAACAACGGAAGAGTCATCTACATCCAAGAATAATTTTGCTCTTGCTCATCTTTGACACAAGAGGTTAGGACATTGCAATCTTGCACATGTCATAGTTATGTCAAAGAAGCAGTCAGTTACTGGAATCATAGTTAGTAAATACGGGTACGGTAAAAAAATGGTACGGGAATTTTACGGGAATAATATGGCAAACAGTAAAAAATACGTTTATAAAAATTCGACCTTAAAATTCGGATACGGGAAAAATATGGTACGGGTATATACGGGTTTAATATGGTATATTGTCAATAATACGTTTTGAAAAATACGACAATATTAATCCTGATTTTAGTACTTTTTATGATCATTAAATTAATTATTCTTTATTTTTCCTTATAGGTGTATGATTTATATCTTTTTTAATTATAATATTTTAGTTTATTATTACAAATATTATATAAGCGATCAATTATTAAATAAAACAAACAATTTTATTTGTCTTTAAGTTGAAGAAGAAGAAGATAAGACGAAGAGTGGTGTTTGTTGACGAATAGCTGAAGAGGAAGAGAGGTAGAGACACCAAAAAAGAGAAGAAGAGAGAAAGAGGGCACAAAAAAAGAGAAAAAGAAAGAAGAGGGCGCCAAAAACAGAAGGAGAGAGGAAGCATGCGTAGAAAACAGAAGGAGAGGCGCCAAAAAGAGACTGACATCGCTCTGGGTAAAAAGAGACTGAGCATAAAATGACGTCGTTTTGATCAAATTTCACCTAAAATGATGTCGTTTTGGCTTAGTAAATAACAAAATTTTATTTTTAAAAATACGGTCGAATTATACGCGAATTATACGGCTAAGGCATATAATTCGCGTATAATTCGGTTGTACTTATAGAATACAGGAATTTGCGTTTTATACGCAAATTTACTAACTAGGACTGGAATTCCCTTAATTCAACACTACAAAAGATATACTTGTGAAGCATGTGCATTCGCTAAGGCAACAAGGCATCCCTTCGTCCTCTCTAATGTTTTAGTAGACTATCCTCTTCAAGTTGTCCATAGTGATGTTTGGGGACCAAGCCTAGTTGAGTCGCATAGTCGAAAGAAGTACTTTGTTTCGTTTATTGATGAATATTCGCGGTATACATGGCTATATTTTCTTCATCATAAACCTGAGGTAGTCGAACATTTTAAAAGCTTTAAGATTCTTGTTGAGAATCAACTTAACAGGAAGACAAAAGAATCTCCGGACAGACAATGGTGGAGAGTTTGTATCACAAGTTTTGCGATTTTCTCAAAGAGAATGCCATAAAAAGGAAACTAACACGTGTTAGAGCTCCTCAATAGAACGATATAGCTGAAAGGAAGAATTGCCATATCGTTGAAGTTGCTAGAGCAATGCTTAATGAGAAACACTAGCCGAAGGTCTACTAGGCTGAAGCCATGAATACTGTTGTGTATTTGGTCAATCGAATGTCACTTCGAGCTAAAATGGAAGTTCCTTATTAGCTTCTATTCTAAAGGACACTAGATCTAACACATCTACGTATATTTAGTTGTATTGCGTATGTGAAGAGCATTGATGAAGGAAGAGACAAACTTGACAAGAAAGCTATAAAATGTGTTTTCGTTGGCTACTCATTGGAAAGGAAAGCATATATATGCTTTGATTCTCTCAACAAGCATATATATGAAAGTAGGGATGTTTAACTTGATGAAGAATCACAATGGTACTACCAATCTCAAGGAAATCAAGAAAATTTACTTCCCTTCATTCCACATCATAAGGAAGAAAAATCTGATTCAGACCCGCAAAATCCTCCAAAAAACCCCAGTTCTTCCACTCCAATCAATGTCCTTGCTGAAATATGTCGCTACTTAGCACGTGAAAAATATCCTTCAAAAAGGCTAACTGATCATTATGTCACCAATCTTCATTATGTTTATATGATGCAAGTGATAAACTCACATATATGAGCCAAATAGTTATGCAGAGGCATTAAATGATCCAAGATTGCGACATGCTATGGAAGAGGAAATGGAAGCATTAACTAAGAATGATACGTGGGATCTTGTCCCATTGCATGAGGGAAAGAAGACCATCAATTGCAAGTGGATTTACAAGATTAAGCGTAAATCCAATGGTGAAATTAAGCACTACAAAGCTTGATTGGTGGCAAGAGGGTTATCTCAAACCTATGGTAATGACCACGATGAGACTTTCAGCCCCGTAGCCAAGGTCACAAGCATTCGAGTTATCATATCAATTGCAACTACAAAATGATGAAAACTATATCAAATGGACGTAAAGAACACATTTTTGAATGGAGAAATTGACAAAGAAATCTATACGGATCAAGTGGAAGGATTCGAAGATAAAGGAAAACTAGATTATGTTTGCAAACTCAAAAAGGCATTGTATGAGCTCAAACAAGCTCCGAGAGCTTGGTTTGCTAAAGTTAGAGAATTTTTTTACTCTTAGGGTTCGCTGCTTCACATGTTGATTCTTGCTTGTTTATAAGAAATTGTCATGAATCATTAACAATATATGTTGTATATGTTGATGATCTCATTATTTTGGGGAGTAATTATGAAGATGTTAGAAGGACAAAGAATGATTGATTTGTTCCAAAGGTTTGAGATAAAAGACTTCGGAGAACTTCAATTCTTCATTGGAATTGAAGTAGTACGAGATGATCATGGAAATTTTATCATGCAGAAGAAATTTGCACTAGATCTGCTAGTGACGTTTGGGATATTGGACTCCAATCCAATGCCAATACCACTAGAAGTGAATCACAAATTGTCCAAACATTAAGGTGAACTTATACATGAACTGCATATTTACTGAGAGATTGTTGGTAGTCTCATTTACCTAACGATTTCCCATCCAAATTTAGCATATGTGGTAGGAGTTGTGAGTCAATTCATGCAAAGTCCAAGGAAACCTCATATGAAGGCTATCAAATGTATCTTGAGATATGTAAAGGCAACAATCAATGAGAGAGTTTTCTATAGATGCAGAATTTCAATCAAACTTTTAGGTTATTGTGATGCAAATTGGGTCAAAGATTCATCCACATGTCACTCAACATCTGGGTTCTGCTTCAGTTTGGGTACAGGAGTTGTA